ATTCCGCGCACACGCTATTCTTCGAATTAATAGGAGATCTTCTGCCGTAGAAAAAAAGAATAATGGCCTCTGTTCGATTCCGACGAAACTTGATGGTTCTCGCACGGTTATCGTACGATTCAAAACTTTTCACAAGGAATAAACAAAATATTCCAAGGGTTTTTTAGCGAAATTCTTCTGATAAAAGGACAAAAAGATAAAAAAAAAAAAAGATTACGATTCGACGAATTATTCGATGTTTATTGTTCGACAAATTCGATGTGCATAGCGCGAGTCAACGTACTTGATGTATTTCTATATATTTTATCTTCGATTAATAACATGTCGCGAAATTCGATGAAATTCTTGTTCCTAGGTAGAAGAAGAAGAAGATGCTACTACGTTATTCGGTACGATAGTTCGTGATTATGCAAATTACCACGACTATTTCTCGTAACTTAACCTTTCGGTTCAAATTCCCTTCTCCATTTCCCGATGAAAAGTTCTGTCACCATTTTCTTCGACTTGCACAGACTCAGCAAGTACATACTACACACACACACACACACACACACACACACATAATTGAACCAAAATAACGTACGAGTCCAAGTTTACGTAATTATTCCGAATTATCGTAGAATCCCATCTTTACAGATAATACCAAAGTATCCTAACCAAAGGTATCCTACTTCAGGGTTGTCTCCCACTGCCCACTCGCTATCTTATTATCCATCGCGAACACGTACAAGGAACATTTTATAATACATTATCGGCTAGTCGATTGAATTTACATCAAGCACTCGCCTACGCTGCTCTTTATACCGTATACTTATAATTTATTTCAAAGAAAGAAAAAAAAAAAAAGAAAAAAACACGGAGTATCCTTGACTCGATTCAATTTACAATCTAAAGTTACATATAGGTCATGTTTGTCATGGCACAAATTATATTCGTTCATCACGATACTAATCTACTTGGAACGAATGGAACTGAGAGAGAGAGAGAGAAGGTATCATTCTCCTATTTACTATGGAATATCGAATTATTTGTCAATTAACGATGAACGTGAACTTATTGTACACGATTGCCTTGCCCGAACCTGAGTTACCGTGAGTACAATAAAGTTCAGGTGAAAATGAACAACCACGTACAAAGCTCTTATTCGATTGCAGATAGCTTTTTAATCATTGTACTTGGTATATAAAACGCTAAACGGGGGAAAAGTAGCATGTAATACGTTACGATTTTGTGTTTTCACACTAAATAGGATAACGGAGGACATGAATCTATAAATTTTTAGAAGAGAACTCTCTGTGCAACGATTGTTGATTTTAAGGTGTAGATGCAAAAAAGAAGAAAAAGATGAAGAAGAAGAAATTTATTACTTCGCGTTATCGAATGATACATAATTTATCGTTTAAGAAAAATGTCACGTTTTTCGAATATATTATTCAGATAAAAATAAATAAATAAATATATATATATACGCGTTTAGGTATTACACGATTTATC